GGTGCAGAGAGCCTTGTGGGTGTGGGAGGTCCAGCTCCAGAAGGAATTCCATCCACGGCTTCCTGAGAGCCAGGCCAGCACTGAGTTACCCCTGTGTCTGGACAGGCCATGTGGCACCACTGCAGATGGTTGCAGCAGCCCAGGGCAGCAGTGCCAGCTGAGGAGCAGGGAAAGAGCATTTGGGGGAACACCTCAGTTCCAGAGGCCCTTGAGCTGCCCGGTCTTCCCAAGAACCCACCTGGGAAAGGAAATGGGCAACTGGTCACTGCTGGGACGGGCAGGACAGAAACATTCCAGGCTTTGCCCCTCGGGTTTGGGAGCCAGGTCATAGGACCAGGCACCTGCTGCTGAACCTGCTGGTTTGGGGCCTTAGGCAGAAGCTGTAAACGGGAAACCACTTAATTCCTGCATTTCTGTGTGTCCCAGGAATTCTACTGCCCTATATCAGTATCCTTGACTTACTAAAAGGCTGCAAACTCAGAACTTTAAAAGCAGTTCATTCTTCTCACCATGTTGCTCAGTACAGCACCAAGGCAGGAAAGCAGCAATGAAACTGTCAGTGACACAGAACTGGGGGTCCATAAAGAGACCTGGGATAGCACCCAGGAAGGCTGGTTGGGCTGCCAGGGAAATAAAGGGGTTGGATTTAACAGGGTGAGTGGAAGGGGACTGCAGATGGTGACTGCAAAAGCAGGAGAACGTGGGGACAGGTGTGTCATTCCCAAAACAAAGAGAGAAGTGGTGAAGTGGCTGCTCAGAGCTCAGTGGGACTCAGGGAGGTTTTGTGGATATGGAAAACAAATGTAACCTCAAATAAACCCCCTGAGGTCCCTGCAGGGGGGACAGGGGAGCACCGAGGGCAGGGCAGGGCAGGGCTCAGCTGGAAAGAGCAAACAGAGAAAGTCAACTGGGACACTGAGGGGAACGTTTTGGAAGAAAGGACTGAAATATTGGCATTTAATCTCCAGGTGGAGGGATTATTATGGTTTGTACAAAGACACCGAGGGGACGAGTGGTGGGTGTGCAGGAGGAGGAGCAGGATGGTGACACCGGCCTTCCAAAGGGCAGAGATTCCATCTGAAGGAAGTGTGGAGCAGAGGGAGGGCCGGCAGGTGTGGGGTGTGGAACAGCCCTGCAGGGAGGAGCTGGGTGGGCTCTGAGTGATGTGTCCGATGGTTCTCGATGACTGTGAGGGACGAGCTCCACCCTGAGCCACTGGGGTTGTACTGCACTTAACCTGGGGGTGAGATCCAAGGGCCCTGCTCCTCTCCTGTTACTGGTTTGGAGAGGAGGGATGTCTCCAGAGGGGTTTCCCCAAAACTGCAGCCGGTTCTCTAAACTAACCTGCCAGCCCTGAGGCTCTCAGCCCGCGGGTGGGACGTTCCCCGTGTCTCAGCCGCGCTTTGCTCTGCTCTGTTCCAGATTCCCGTCTCCAGAATCTCCCCGATGCCATTTCCTGCGGGCCAGGTCTCTCCCAGGGCACGTTTCCCCCTCTCCCTCGCCAGTCCGGGCAGGACA